AGAGATTTAGGAAAAGCTTTGAAGGGAAGGAAGGATTTAGGAGTAATGTGGAAGGGAAGAAATAAGGAAGGAAGGAAGATGCCACCTATCTGAAAAGATTTTCACTATTGTCACAGTTAAAATAGTTTGATAGAGTAGAAAGTGGTGAGTCAGTGCAAGGTTGACCCAGAAAAAAAAAAAATTAAAAAGGACAGGCTATACCCAATGTGAATGTTACATAGGGATATGTGATTTAATAATTTTCTTGAAGCATATATAAAAGTAAAAAATGTGTTTTCTAAGTTCCAATCTTTCAACAAACATCAGTACAACTTTTGAGACTCAGTTTCCCATTGTTATCTAGACAACCAGACATTACATAAGAGAGGCCCTGAAGTACCAGTTTTTTCTTACTTCCTGTGATATGCTAAGTATAAAATGTGTTCTTTTAGTCCCTAAAAGAAAAATAATTTATATATTTTTTTAACTTTTGCAAATACACATCTCAATTATAATTTTACAGCCATAATTTGTTATTGTCTGCATATATATGTGGTCAGCCATTGTCCTCTTATAGCTTCTTTTCATATTCATGTTCAAGTTGTAATGTACTTATAATATTTTGTGTGGCTAACCATATTTATGATACTAATGATTCCATTACCCCAAGTCCTCACTTAACTTTGTCAATAGGTTTTGGAAACTGGGATTTTAAGAAATGACATATAAGGAAACCGATTTTGCCATGGGCTACTTGATATAACCAAAGTTTAGTTCCTATGGCATATTTCTGGTCACAAAAATGTCTCCAAACTTCTAAATAAGATCCTAAAAACTAATATTAAACTTTGAAAAAGATGTGAGCTATAATACATTTAAGACAGAATAATAAAAACAAGTAAGATACAAAACTATTTTCCAAATTGCTTATTCTAGTTCAGGGTTGAGGGTGACAAGAGTCTATTCTGGCAGGTTAGTCACACCCACACTCATTCCCACTGGGACAATTTAGATATGTCAATTCACATAACGTGTACATCTTTGGGATATAGGAGGAAACCAGAGTACCTGGAGGAAACCCGCTTGGGCATGGACATGTCTGGAGCTGATTCCCCCCCCCGCCCACCATCAATGTTATAATGAAAAAACGTTATTCAAAACCACATTGTTGCGGGACCTGCTGTATAGTGAATTAAAAGTACTGTGTTAGGTACATTCGATTCTATTTTCCCCCTATATTCTTTTCAACGCTAACTTTCTCCCCTAATTTTCATATGGGCTCTCATAAATTAACTGATTTCTATATGGAAAGTAAATCTCTGAATCATTGAAGATTACTGAAGAATCCTTTAAAATTAACTAATATAAGTTGACTTATGACTTTTATAATATTCAGTGAGAAGATGATATTTAAAGTTCAGACATTAGTATTTCTAGTTTTTTAAAAGTGAAAGTGAAAGAAATATATGTTCCAAGGATTTCCAAAGTACATTGTACATGATTAAAAGAGCCTGCATGTGTATGTCCCTTCAAAAACCCAAATTAACATTTCCCCCAAATTTGTTTTTTCTGTAAAATTAATCATTATGTTTTGTGTCTTAAAACTGCTCAGACTATCTACCATTTCTTCAAATTATTGATGCTCATATCATAACTAATGCCTGAATGAAGTGATAGTCTTCACATAGGAGGAATAAATTCATGAATCCTGGTTCACTTACATTTTAATTTCAAAAAATTAATCATTGGATGTGAAACTTTAATGAATGAAGGCTGTTTTTCCCAAAATGTTAGACTGTCAAAAAGTTCTGAATTTCATTTCAGCGAGCCAGATTCAGCAACCATTTCCATGTGATAATGTTAGAATTACAGCTAAGCAGCTTTAATTAGACTAATAAGATAGCCTTCATAAAAACGCCTCCATGAAAGTGCATCCAATAAACTTGTTATTCTTTTCCCTCTGGAACTTAACAATCTAACTTACACATTAAAAGCTTTGTAGCTAACTAGCCCTAACCGGTTTGGCTCAGTGGATAGAGCATCAGCCTGCGGCATGAAAGGTCCCAGGTTTGACTCCAGTCAAGGGCATGTACCTTGGGTGTGGGCACATCCCCAGTAGGAGGTGTGCAGGAGGCAGCTGATCGATGTTTCTAACTCTCTATCCCTCTCCCTTCCTCTCTGTAAAAAATCAATAAAATTTATAAAAGCTTTGTAGTTAACTAATATTATATCACAAGATGCAATTTTCTAGAATAGTGGAAAATATAGTTAACACATAATTTGTTAAAATGTGATTAAACTTATATTCCATACAAAAACTATTAATTAGCTCACATTGGGTACAGACATTATTTGGGCATTGAAATGATTGATTGATATTCTTAAACTGCAATTCAATAAGCCACTGTTATGCTTTAATTTTGCATTAACTCTCTTGTGTTACTTTTGGAAAGCTGTATCTCATGGTTCATGATGTCTTAAGGTATTTAGTGATGTGTCACTCAGATTCATTTACGCGTTTGAGTATTGCAACAGTGGTTCTGAACCATAGCTTCACATTGGAGTCATGTAAAACACATTGGCCAAGCCCCCAAACCCAGCATTTTGATTAAATTAATTTGAAGTGATTTTTGTGAAAAGTTTCTCAGGTTATTCCAAAGTGAAGCCGCCTTTGAGAACCACTAAATGGGAGGATTTGGGAATAACGAAAATGTTTTGCTTGCAATATACTAGAACAGATTTCCAAGACAGAAGATAGTCTGAATGGAGTATATTTAGCTAGCTCCAGGAATGACAGTTGTTATGCCATGACTGGACCAGCTAATGCTTTGAAGTTCTTCCTAGTTCTCTGATTCTAAGATATTATAGTGTTCTTACCATGTTAATAATTATTTCATATTTTTTTCTTGATAGAGCACAGAGTGACTCATCAGTTTTGAAAATGTGCTTGTGAATAATGTAATAGAAGCAAGCTATGGGGAGATACATCCATTCTTTCAAAGATTCATTATCTGTACCAACAAAATATAATCCATGACATTGCAATAGAACCCTTTGAAAAGTAAAACTGACACCAACAACAGTGTGAATACAATCAATATTGAGTCCAGGTGTACTAATGACAAAAAGAGATAACGAAATGATCAAAATTGAGAGGTAGTAATCAGTGATGTCTTCTTGGAAGCACTGCTTTATGACAAATTCAGAAGGAAGTCATGCATTTCAGGTCAACAATGAAATTCCAGTCAACAAAGGGACTCTGTGTAAATGCCACAGCGAATAAAATGTGAATAGCTATGGTCCTCACTGTAGAGGCCTTGATAAGCTAATTCAGGAGGAGGTCTATCAAAGGCTAATACAAGGGTAGAATATACTAGGAGAGCACAGCAGAGGATGGGTTTATGTCACATTACAACATTGTGTGCAACTTCATGGGCAAAAGGAATTTGAACTAAGTCTTGAAGTGTTGGAGGAGATTGGGAAGATGAATAAATGCCTTCCAACCTAACTATTAACATAAATAACAATATGGAGGCACAACATTTACTGGGATGTGCAGGGAAATAATGCAGGGGGTGAATGAAAGAAGCATGTCACAGAGAAAAGAACACTCAATTGTGTTTGGAGAAACAATAGCTCAATTCACCAGACTAGATTGAGAGAAGGACTTAAGTGAGAGAGCGAGAAGAAAAGAGGCTTGCCAAGCCTGAGGGTAAGGGGGGCTCTGAGAGGTGGCTTGAGGAGTTTGACAACCATACATCCCAAGTAGCAATATTCCCAAGGGATTCCAAGCATAACTGAAATAATAATGCCTGGTCTCAACTAGTCTCTGGGTTGTGTTAGCAGTCAGAAATGAAGCCAGACTGGATATGTTCATCTTTAGAAGAAGGCAAGTCACAATCCTCAGGATTTTATTTTAAGGAACAAATTTACAGAAAATTCTTTCATTCCAGGACTGGGATGCTGTCATTCAGTACTTTCTTTCTCAGCTCTTTCGAGGGAGAAACAACCAATTTCCTTATTCTTAATTTTTATATAACTAATCTGTTACCAAGCTACTAAATGTAATATTTTGATCAAATGCTTCCCTGAAGCATGTATTTCAGTTTTATTTAATTATTATATTTTTTATCTCAAGATCTTTTTTTTATCCTTTTTTCTATCCTAAAAAATACACTGGAGACAGAAAAAAAAACCCCACCAAAAAACCCCCACAAACCCCACATTGTAAAAAAGGCAATTAGCACGCCCTCTCCTTTTTATAACTTCATAATTGAAATCTCATTAAAAGCTTTCTAGGTCTCAGCTCCCTTAGTGACCAGGTGTCCCTAATTTGTTTTTAAACTAATGTGACTAATTCCAGGCAATGACTAGAAAAAGCCTGATACCTGTTGGAGAATAGCAATAGCAAGGTTATAGAAGTGGGGTGGCTTTTTAGGTTGCCTTTAACCTTGTTTTTTTTTCTTTTCTTCTTCTTCTTTTTTTTTTTTTTAAAGGCTTCAACGTCTTTTCTCTCCGAGTCCTGCCCTTTTTTCAGTCCCGGCTGAAGATTCCCAGGGAAATGAGAGCACTATTTGGTTTCTGCCTTGTATTGCAGATAGGGGGAGGACGTGGTTATTAGAGAGAAGCTCTTCCTCTCTCGGTTTCCCCCTCTCTCCGCCTGACAGCACCGCTCTCTCGCAGGCTCGCTGGTTCTCTAGGCGATCCATTTCCAGGCAACGTGGGGCTGCTGAGCTGCCCAG